GTTAGATACATTTCCTGCAGGGTATGTATGCATGTACATATGTATATCCAGTCCAAAAGGTGTATGACTCATTAAGCCTTTGTGTTTTTCATTTTCGACGTTATCGCTTGTAGCTTGCGATTGTTTATATTTTAATTTTAGCTTTATGTATTATTTTGTTATTTATTTCTGCATACCTATACCTTTTATTTATATGTATTAATTTGTTTTTGCAAAGCATCAAAATAAAAAGCTGCTTTTATTTGTTAATTTAAAATTTATTTGCTTTTGAAAACCACATGTGTACATGTTTGTTTAAAATCGTAAAAAACGTTGCTAAAAATTATAAAAAAATGCTACATTATAGGCTGCATATGTGTACTTAACATTGTATGCGAAGTTAAGGTGGCTGGTGTTGGATTTCTTATCATTCAACTTTTTTCTGATAGCCATCAATTTATTCTATCTTAAACGCCATGCCATTAACTATCTCAACTCGAAAAACTATCTAAACTTTGTTGTTGCCAAGTACGATTGTTTCGTCTTATCTCAGCACTATGTTAAGCAGTTAAGTTACGGATTTAAGACACAGTAAATAGGCATGTCTGAGTTTGGATAGCTGGTTTGACAACGCTGAGATGAGATTAAACATTTCTGCCTGTCTGCGTTAGTACAAAGTTACAATAGTTCATCGAATCGCTGAGCGTTCAATATAGAATAAATTTATGGTTATCGAATAAGTCCAAATAAAGTAGCTCGGTGCCATCGATATACATATGTACATATATTGGTCTTAAGAATTTTACAGATTAATTAACCACCTCCGAGGAAGTTTCTACTCCGACGCTTCTAATTTGTACAAAGTTAAAGGGCTAATTACATGGAATAAGGTCTAAATAATCTATCTTCAAAGCTTAAGTGCTAATTACTCGAATACATTTGCCTACACTTAAAAACTACTTGCTTTAGTATGTCTCAATGCTTAAAATATGATTGCTGCATATAATTGCAAAGTAACCGAATTGAATCCTTTTTTTTTTTTTAAAGAAATTCAAGGTCTAATCGAAGGCCGAAACAACAACCTTTGGTGGAGTAAAACCCGGAGTCATTCCGATACGGAGACCCGGCTTCACGTACGTTGAATACTGCTTGATATTGGCGTACGACAATGGAATTTATGGTCTGTGTTCAAAATAAACGGCACTACCGACGGATGTTACTTCCCTTCCGCTCGCATGCATACAACCGCAATTGTTAAAAAAAAGTGGATAGCATGTAACAAAGTCCTCGAATCGCTCTCGATAGTACTTGGCGCAAAGACAAAATGCATGTTTTTGGCAACATATATAAATATAAGGCAATCAACCGTCCGTTTCTAAACTATACTGCGCTTGTTTAGTAACCGGTGATTACACCGGCTACTGACATCGATGAACATCACCTACATACATACATAATGCTCCACGTCAAGGAATGCATTGTAGTTTTATGCGCAGAAAACAGTTCCTGTTTCTGGAAGCGGAGCCACCTCCTCGGTACATCAGAAAGCATGTCTGCGAAATCACAGACGAGATCCGGACATACATACTTATATACCCGTACATCACACAACTCCTAGACCGGACGTTGAGCGGACCTCCACATATACAACACATGTCCGGGGGGAACGGCACCCCACACGTAACCAAACACCTTTCACTTCACTAGAGAAGAGAGATAAGTATAGGGGTCGCATTGAGAAGAGGAAGTAGAAGATACAGTGAGAAACAGAGAGAGAGAGATAAAGTGAGATATAATGGTATTGAGGAGAGTGAAGAAGCCAGAAGAAAAAGAAGAGAAAGAGAGAGAAGAAGGATGAGGAGAGAGAGAAGAAGAATGAGGAGAGAGAGAAGAAGAATGAGGAGAGAGAAGAGAAAAGAGAGGCGAGGAAAATGGAGAAGACAGGGAAATAAACACCGAGGCGAGAGAACAAGAGTGGAGTGAGAAGAGGACAGTATAGAAAAAAGAGGACAGAGAAGAGAATAAAAGAAGTGAGGAGATAGAAGGCGGTCGTGAGGGAACGTGGAGAAGAAGGAGAAAAGGAAGAGAATTGGACTTTTCTTCGATAGCCCGCAGTCCAAAATCCTAAACTGAACGTTTCTTTATCTGTGAACAACTCAGTGAGAGGGCAGGACCAGGATGAATTCATTTACATCTTCTTTGAATTTGCCCTGTTTCTTGAAGATATGTACATATGTATTTTAAACGCAAGGCACAGGGGCATGCCTTGACAGACGGCAGTAATGCGGATTAACGAGCCGCAGTGTCGTGGGTTCGAGTCCCAAGGCCAGTAGAATTTTCATTTATTCATTTTTCATAAGTTCTATATTTTTTTAACGTTGCTTTCAGTTAGTTGTTGTTGACTTTTTAATAAAATTCAACTCTAAAATTTTAAATTAACTAATAGCAAAATAAACAAGTAAGAAAGTCTTAGTTCGGGCGGAGCCGAACATTAAATACCCGGCGCAAGTAATAAATATACGATTTCCACCTTTCCGAAAGCTACCGCTACATGGTAAGCCGGGGTGTATAAATTTTGAGTAAATTAGCGTCCTTAAATTTCGAAATATTGAAGATTCAAGAATTTCTGAAATTGTCCGTTATATGAAGAGCGGCCTCAATTTTAGTCCGATTTCAATAATTTTCAACGTTTTGCTTTTATGCGGCGAGCACAATAACCATACCGAGCATGGTACAAATTGGTAGAACGGTTACCGAGATACATATATGTATGTGATCATAAGTGGGCGATGCCACGCTCATTTTCCAAAATTTTATCATAAACGTATTTCTTGGTAAAGAATTGTTGCAAGCATCAAGGAGAGCAGGCTGTCGAAGGTGACTCCGAGGATTTTGGGGTTATTCACCGTCGGTATTGGTTCGCCATTGACGTGAATACTCAGTTGCAGTCTGACCTCCTTAGTTCAGGTGGTGAATAAATTTGCCGAGGATTTTGTAGGGGAGAGGATAAGGCTCCTTGCAGTGAAGAAGCGAGAAAGCTCGGCGAGATAACCGTTTACTTTCGAGCACAAGTCATCAATTCCATTCCCAGACACCATTATCGAGCAGTTGTCAGTATAAGAGACTGTAGTGACTCCCTCTGGTGGTTGAGGAAGCTTTTAAATGTAATAATTAAACACTAACGGGGATAGGACACCACCCTAGGGTACCTCCTGTTTAATTTTTCTCTGTTTTCTGGGTTTGTCTCTAAAAATTACTGACGAAAGGCGACCATTCAGATAGTTCGCCTACCATCGCTTTAGTCCCTGTGGGAGAGAGGAAGCATCAACGTCTTCTAGTAGCGTGGAGTGACTGTCTAAAGCTTTTGACAGATCCAGCGCTACTAGAACCGTTCTCTCACAGGGGCGATTTTGGTTAAGGCCACAAGTTATCTGTTTGTTTATGGCGTTAAGTGCTGTTGTTGTGCTGTGCACTTTACGGAACTCATGCTGATGCTTCGCTGGGGTCAGGTGGTTTGTGAAATACGGGAGTAGCAAGGCCTCTAGTGTCTTCGCTACCGGGGAAAGGAGGGTAATCGGGCGATAAGACTCCTTTGTTTGCTGGTTTCCCCGGTTTGAGCAGTGGGACCACTCTCCCCATTTTCCAGATGTTTGAAATGACGAGAGTGGCCATAGACAGGTTGAGGACCTCCGTTAGGTACGCTACTCCCGCAGGACCCAAATTTTTCCGTCGGGTCCAATGGCTTTGGAGGCTTTCGCCTTCCCGATGGCTACCCTTACCTCACCGCTGGTGAAAACAAGAGGCGCACTTGGTGTTGGCAGTTTGTGCAGCCTTATGGTCACTCGACGTTTGGCTTTGTCCGCCGGAGGATACAGGATGAACTGGCGAAGCGTGGTCGCCAAAAGATATTTCAACTCTGTCGTCACGCTTCACGGTAGACCACGTAGATTGGTGTGGGTAGAGCAGTGAAGGTGCTTTAAGTAACATCCGCGAAGCCTTTCCAATTAGCTTTGGAGAAGTTGACATAGGTTCGGTGATCCGCGGGAGCAAATTCGGCAGGTTTATCAATCGAGATGACTATGGGCAGATGGTCTGATGATAATGTCAGCATAGGTCGCCATGATACGCTGTTAAACAGACCAGCTCTGACAATTATTAGGTCTGGCGAGCCGCAGAAGCTGCCCATAATCCTGGTGGGTGCGTTGTCGTTCATTGTGCAGAATGTCGAATCGTCTATCTGCTCAGCCAAATGAGTTCCCCTACGATCATTCGACAGGCTTGAATGCCAAAGATGGTGGTGCTCGTTAAAGTCGCCAACTACCACCTCTGAGTAGCGCACCTATTTCAGAGCGATATCCTGTCGGGCAGCTGGGGGTATATATACGTTAAATATTTCGAGCTCAACAGCGTCTGACCGGATAGCAATACCCTGACATTCTAGGATGGTATACCTGCGGTCGATGTCTGCTTCGTTAAGACGATAGTGCACTGTGTGGTGCGTGATGAATGCTAAGCCTTCACCATTATCTCGCTCGCGATCTCGACGGTGCAATTCAGCAAGGTTGAATTGCTGTGCAACTTCGTCTCTTGGACCGCAGCTATCAATATTCCACGCCTTCCCATGAAGACGGTTTTCTCATCGATCTTGCTCTGAAGTCCGTTGCAGTTGAATTGCAGCACCTTTGTGTGCATTTGTTCGGCTGCTTATGCGCATTTGAAGGAGAATATTGCATGAGTTAATGCAAATAAACGTTGTTAATGCAGATAAGCGGGTCCGTTTGTCACCCGTGTTATGTTAGAGACACACATCCTAGTATGGTGTCAATATTACGATCTATACCACACGTGTGCCACTCACATATTATAAATCATTGTAGTTGCAACGTAGCAACGGCAAACTACAACATTGATATTTTAATTTTTACCCACATGTGTGTCCCAGGCATTACCCTAATTAAGCTTGAATCAAATTAGGCAAACAAATTGTTGTTTTAATAATTTTCTTTCCTTATCTCGCACAGGTCGGTACTTTGCTCTCACGCACGAATTACCTAATCAATACGCAACGCGGCTCTGAGTCCTATCGTATTAGGAGCGCTTCTTTTTACCAGCATATCAACAAAAAAATCGAAGAACTTGATGAAAAACGAAAAAATGGCGAAACTACTGAGTATATGGCAAATGGTGACGAAGGCAAATCAGCGCTGAATGGTGATCCTGCGCTGATAGAATCCCTACAAGTGGAAGACAATGCGCCCACTCATGAACTTCTTTACGAGGGTAGTTTGGAGCAGGAGCGGGAATCCGTCTTTCAACTCACCAATATGGGTTGCTATATTTGTCAGATGAATTTTGGCTCACCTACTAGCTTTGAAGAGCATGTGGAAGAACATGGCGATGAATCAGATTTTAAGTTGCTCAAGGACTATTTTAAAAGTGTTCGGCCAGTGTTTGAACTCTCCTATAATGTTTGCAAAAACTCGCATTATTTTCGTTTTAATTTGGTCTCGATAAGACGGAATATTGTCATTGAGAAGTTGGTGATTGTGCAAACGCGTACCTTCTATTATGTACACAATACACGTGTGCCATATGCGTTGGGTGCAGATCGCAAAGATCATTTTTTCGTCGATTGTCATCTCTTTCGCAAAGGTGTTGTGCAGCCGATTGTTGTGGTATTCCATGATAAGTTCAACAAGCAGAAGCGTTATGTGGAGCAGCATCATTTTTGTCGCGTCGAAGAGTTCCCTGTGGTCAAGTTAAGCATCAATCCATGCCGTTTACCAAATAAAATGTAAGCTTATATAATTATGATGATTAGTTTTTGNAGCGTTATGTGGAGCAGCATCATTTTTGTCGCGTCGAAGAGTTCCCTGTGATCAAGTTAAGCATCAATCCATGCCGTTTACCAAATAAAATGTAAGCTTATATAATTATGATGATTAGTTTTTATTTTATACAATTTTCTATTACTTATCACCTTCGTTTTCCTTATTTCATATTTTACAGTAAATTTAAACCAATGTTTAAACTTCCCCAGTATATGCCGCCAGTTGAAATTCGTCGCGCTCTTCAAACGGATTTCATTAAAGAACCACTTTCACAACTATCCAATGATTTTAGACAATATTTAGATAATAAAAAAACCTTGACCCAACAAAATGTACGCGATGTATTGTTGAAGCTTTTACAAATCGAAGATTGGGATACAATGCGGGAATACTCGAGCTTGGTGCAACGTAATGTTAAGTTGCGCAAATACGAAAACGATTATATTGTTAAGCCAAAGACACCGAAGCATATCCGCTTCGAGAATATAGTTTTTCCCTATGACGATGTAATTGTGCTGCCCACCGATGAGGGCAATACTATACCAAACACATTGGACGGCTTAATGAACAGAATGGAACAATTGGCTGAGGAACCTGGTAGTCAAAATCAGTCGGAAAAGAAAAAAACAAAAAGCTACCTCGGCCAAATTGAATGCATTTCATACGGGCGAGTAACGTTCAAATGCGACAAAAAAATACCAGATGACAAAACATATACAATACTCTTTCGACCATCGCGTATGGTGCTGCGCTATCAATATCGCGCCTTAGAACAGTTGGTAGCTATGCCGGCGGACATACTAAAAAAATTTCTCTTCCCCGAGGAAGTTAGGATTCGGGAATTGCCAGCATTATGGTATGTCCAAAATTTTCATTCGTCTTTAAATATATGTATGTACACATTCTTATAAATTTTCATATATACTTGAATTCAGGTTGAATCTGCGTAACAAAAGTATCTACAAGAATCCAGAACAATTGCAGGCCATACAGTGTGTGGTGAATAATAGTGTAGAGAAAATGGCGCCTTACATTATATTCGGACCTCCAGGTACCGGCAAGACAACAACGTTGGTTGAAGCCATTTTGCAAATCTACATACTCCAGCCACAGTCACGCATACTTATTACAGCGGGCTCAAATGGCGCATGCGATGAAATTGCGTTACGTCTCTGCAATGTGCTGGCGCCAATGAATGAAACACAAACGATAACACGCATCTATTCGCGCGCATATGAGCAACGTTCGGAAAACATCAACGAATTGCTGTTGGAATACTCCAATTTGTATGCGGATCATTTTTTGCCTGATGTGAAAGTGTTGCACGCATATCGTATTGTTGTATGTACGCTAAGCATTGTGGGACGCTTGGCCACGGGCAAATTTGGCAAAGAAATCGATGGTAGTGGTGTGTTTACGCATGTTTTCGTTGATGAGGTGGCCGCTTCTACAGAAACCGAAACTTTGGTGGGCATTATGGCAACACTTAGTGCGCCAGCAAGTTTGGTAATCTCTGGCGATCATCGTCAATTAGGTCCATTATTGAATTCCAAACGTGCTGCAGATCTGGGTTTGGAGGTGTCATTGATGGAGCGCCTACTCGAACGTGATTGCTATCGCGTCGATTTGGATGGCAACTATAATCGACAAATACAAACACGTTTATGTCGCAATTTCCGTTCACATCCGGAAATAGTTAATTTGTATAGTGAAATGTACTATGAAGGACGATTGAAGGCGGAGGCCGAGCCAGGTGAGGAGGGGTAGTAGTACTAGAATGTTTGAAATTAAGGAGCCAAAACATTTTTAATAATTAAGCGAGCTCAAATTCTCCATTTAGATGTCGTACTTAAAAAAATATGCAGTAATACATTTTCTTTTGTTTGCTATTTATTTACGCAGCCGTTCAGCAGCTATGCCGCGACTGGCATCGATCTCCCAACGCTGAATATCCGATTATTTTTCATTCTATTTTTGGTCCCGAACAACGTGAAAATAATTCCACAAGGTAAGTGTATACTTTTCGAATTACTAGCCATTGTATGTACATATGCAAGTATTCATATTTGAAGTTAATATATTACTCATAAAAAATAACTGCAAACCCAAGTCGTTTTTACAGAGATGTTGTCACCGATATCGAATAGACAATCGATAACAAGATCGAAAAAAGAAAGATAACGATATCAGTCATAGTATCGAAAATAATGGCGGTGAGGATAATGTTGAAATCCCAAATTTTTATATACATACATAAATATGTACGTATGTGGTCCTAGTTTGCAGTTATGTTTTTTGTTAGCTTTTTTACCGATCTCGGTATCAAAAATTTTTATCGATAACGGTATCAATGATAATATCGAAAAGAATAACACCAATGATATCGATAACGAATATAGCACTTAAATATTTTTTTTGGCTGTGGTTATTGGGAGTTTATGAGTTCCATACTATGTAGTAATGAGCCTCGATTGATATAAAAAAAGCTTCTATTACTAACCGAGCATGCGGTACCTATAGTTTTTGCGAACTAATTTCTGTTTTTAAATGGAAAACATTTGTTTCCTAAAACATGGGCATTCTGCGCTTCTCTCTTAACTCCTCTTCTTTCAAACTAAAAAAAACTGTAAATAGCTTATTTAACAAATCGCATCATCCTTATAGTCTATATAATCTGCTCGAGATTACCACCGTGATGGACTATGTGCGCGATCTACTGTATTTCGGCATTAAGGGCCACAAGATCACACAGAGTGACATTGGTATTATAACACCATATAAGAAACAGTATATGCGCATTCAGGACGAATTAAATCTACGCAATTGGTATCAAGTCGAAACGGGCGCAGTTGAATCCTTTCAAGGCAAAGAGAAAAATGTTATAATTGTATCTTTCGTACGTTCGTTCTCCAAGACACTGGGTTTCCTGGATAGTCCAAGAGTAAGTACAACAATCAAATTTTTTTCTTAAAATGATTTATTCTTCAATCTTTTTAGCGTTTAAATGTAACGCTCTCTCGTGCTCGTTCAATTCTCATACTAATCGGAAATCCGAGAACTTTGAGTCAAAATGAAGACTTCAAGCATATTATTGAGCAGTGTCAACTGCATAACACCTTGGTTGGTGCCGCCTACCATGAAGATGGCCCTTCAGTACAGAAGGACAAATCCAACAACGGGCAAATGCAGCAGCTAGCAAAATCCATGGAAAAGTTGAATGTTAACAAGAAGAATATTGCTGATGATGACAGCAAAAATGGTGCCAAATCTAAGGCAAGAAATAAAAAGAAAAGGCAGAAGAAGGCCAAGAAGAATGCTATCGGTGACGCACAAGCGAATGAGAGGGCATCCGATGCTGCCAATGAAGCGCTGAAGAGTAAGAATAGCAGTGCATTCAAAAGTAAGAGCAGCTATTTTTATCGTAAACTTAGAGTTTTGAAACGTAAAAAAGCGAAGAAGGCGGCAAAGGCAGCACAAAATCTTTAAATATTGAGAATGATGCAAGCTTAGAAGAAAGTGAGGAGGAGGGGGATTTGTATGTCTTGATGTGTGTGCGTGAGTATGTGTGTTTGCGTTTAAGGTTGGGAAGTTGTGAATTTCATGCCAACATGTGTTTGTGTATACATACATATCTATTGATTGGTCTACAGTCTGGTAATAGCAGTTTATGCGCATGAGAAACGCCTTAAGAATGGGTATTAATCGGATATTTATTTTCAACTTCGTAAATACGCGGTTTTAAATCAATCACTTAACACGCATACATATCTCATTGCTAAAATGCATATTTTTTTTTTTATAAAAATAAGCAAAATTATTTACTTTTATTGTGTTCTTTAAGTTTATGAAGTGTTTTTGCTCATTTAAATGCTTGCTTCTTTTGATTTTAAACATACACACATACGCGTGACATGCTTATAATTTTTCATTTAGTTACATTGAGTGGAATTTTTCATATTGGCTGATTTTTTATATCATATATTTGTTGAAGCTTTTTGTATGTTGATTTTTTTGCTGTATTGCTTTTATGTGGAATTGATAAACTATGTAGTTTTTTTTTTGTTTGGCTTTTTTGCAATGACAATAAAAAAGTTTTTTAATATTAAAAATATGTTTTTAAGCGTAAGCTTCTATTGGCTTTGACGTTTTTTTCAAAATTTTTGGTTATAATTGGACATAATTACTCTGGGATTAAACAATTAAGGGTCCGCAAAAATATTTAGAATTTATTTCTAGTTTTTACTTTCAAAGTCATTTTAAAAGCACCTCACAAAAAAACTGCCTCAAGTACACCCTGTCAATTTTAAATTACCGACATCTATGAAACTTGGCTAAAGATCTTTAATTTACTTATTTTGCGCCGAAAGTGGTTCGGTAAGCTCTCGTTTTGTTTTGAGCTGAATAAATTGCTTTTTGTAAACTGGTATAAAAGTAAGTCTTAAAATTTTACTATGCTCAAAAATTGCTTATAATTGTTTTTTTTATGGCTTTCATTAATTCTAAATTTTTCTAAACACTATTTACTCGCATTGTAAGTTCGCACATACATATGTTCATGCAGTTGGTCTAAAGGAATTACTACCTTCATTTGGATGTATCGAAAAGATAACATTGATATTTCCGATGCATCCCTACTTTAAATACGTTTTGAAGTAATACACTGGTCGAATATTTATTTTCTTTTCATTTTTCTCAAACTGGTCTAAAGATTTGCTATCTTCATTTCACCTCAAAAGTTGTCCGATAAGCATACATTTTGTGTTGAATTCATTAGATCGCATATATTGCGGTTTTGTAAAACTGGTCTAAAAGTTTTTTTTTTCATAATTTACATTTTCTCTTGGCACACAAGTTACTGATAACTATTTTTTCGTATTTTATTGATAAACTCTCCTTAAAATAGACTCCCCGAAAATGGCATCGTGTGCGTTGAAATGCGTAAGAGCGAAAAATAAAAACTTAGTTTTCGTAAATTTAACTTGCTGTAAACTTAAATACTTCTAAATATTTTGTGATTTATCTAACTGGCATACAAGTTCATTAACTTCAGTATTGCCGATTTTGCAACAAAACTTGTCTGTTAACCTAAGATTAGATTTTTATGCAACTGGTCTAACTATTATTCGTTTGATAAGAAAAAAATTACTCGATTTGCAAGTGGTCTAAAAGGATTATTACTTTTTGACTCCGTGGATATCTAGAACTGATACGGAATTTAGTTCCTAACAGATACCCGCTTTATGAAACTGGTCTTAATGTTTATAAACTTTAAAACTGATATAATTTGCCAAAAAAAAAGTACACAATCGTGAGTAGTTTGTAAAAAGGCCTGAGGCATGTTATTCGGCTTCGATGATTTAAAATGATACTACTAATAAAATTATTCACCATTAATTGCCTTCTTCGCTTTTTTCTGTTTGGAGCGCTTTTTTGAACCTTTTTTTTTAACAATTTTTTCCATTATTTTTTTCCTCCTTTTTTTCATCCAGCTGCAAAGCCTGCATCCGCTGAAAAACAACGCCAAACATTTACTCTTTACAAAGACCTTTATTTATCTAACGAGCGTTGTGTGCGTGAATCCGCCACCACTGGCACTATAAGCAACAATAGCAATGCCCAAAATAATAAATCAGAAATTGAAGACCTCTTCGCAGGACTACCACGTGTACCGCAACAACACGATTTTGAAATAATCAACTTGCCCCCTCAGCCTAACACTGTTGATGAGGACTTAGATCAAATTATAAAACGGTTGAATTTACTGAAAAGAAAATCGAAGCCGTCCAAGCAAACATTTGTGCCAGCAACAGCAGACATGACCGCAAAAGGCGCAAATGTAATGAACCCAGCAAGGAGCCAGACGCCTACAGCGGCAGCAGCAGGATATACTAACAGTAACGTAGAGCGGCGTTATACTTTATCGAATTTGCATAGCATCAATGAAAGGGCTACAAATGTTACGGCCACTCAGAGGCCAGAAAATTATAGTGTCACGCCTACGATTAGAGCTGATGGAATTCCTACTATGAATTCATCCGGTGCTCAGACACTACACATCGACGCCAGAGTATCTACTGTCGCTTCGCCTACGCCTACTGCAAATGCTGGTGTTACGCCGGCTCGGTGTCAGCCTGTATACGCAAGCGGTCCCATAACATTCAGGGAGGATCTTAGGCGTTCCGGTACTACAAGTAATACTGCCACTGCTAGTGAACGTACACCTGCTTCTGCCTCTTCGACTCCGTTAAGGTCACAAGCCAACGCCAGAGTATTTGTTGGACATGCAGAATATCCAACGTCTCCGAGATACGTACAAACTCGCACAGAGCCACCAAAGTCTTCGAAGAAGAGCTGCGTAATTGCTTAGCAAATCGAACTTCCAAATAGCATTTATTTTTCATTTCATTGTTATTATTATTTCAATTATGCAAAGTTTTTAGGCAAATGCGATTGTTGCATTTTGCTTTGAACTTTGCTCGTAGTTTTGTAGTTTCGATGACTCGTAAACGGCGAAAGGGGAAAAATGTTTTAGGGAATAGCGAGAATAGCCAGAATTGAGCTTCATGTTCATGTATGTGGACGTGTTATCTTTCTTGCTAATCGTATGTAAGTTGTTCCCGAATTTTAACTTNATGTATGTGGACGTGTTATCTTTCTTGCTAATCGTATGTAAGTTGTTCCCTAATTTTAACTTTTCTTTTTCCTTTAACTTGCCGTTTTTTCTGAGGAATTGATTCTACAAAAATAACTCATTACCGCGTAAAATTTTACGCCATATAAGCTTGTGAACTGTGATATTCACAAGCTAATAGCTATAAGTTTGGGGCAGTGGGATTTTTATTTTTTGCTGCCTTTCGTTGGATCCCGAGAAGTTATAATAATTTGGGTCTGCTCGTGAAGCCTTCGGGATAATTTGAATATTTCTTTATTAATTGTCATTGAATAATATTTTGTGTGGAAACCACCGAAACAATGTCAGTCGAACAGTTAAATTTAGAGATGTCGAGAAAAGGGAAATATGTACACTGGTTTTGTGATTGCAAGATGTATTTGAGGGTGTAATATCGTTTATTTTCTTCCGAGTCTCAAGCGCCAAATTTCACTGGCTCTTAAATCATTAGAGAGGGCTAAGCATTAGCGGGTGGTCTGTTCGCATGCAAAATCAAATTATGTGTTTTCCCTGTGAAAACTTTTTATACTTGCTTAAAAAATAACCAACGCAAATTTTTGAAGAGTTGCTATTCAGTATTTCAAGTATTCATACTCAGGGTACTTGAGATAATTTTTCTTTTGGCACTTTTTTTTGACACTGGAAGCCAGTCCTTCAATGTTTTTTTTTTACATTTTCGCACTGGCGTAAATGCTAATTTTGCTGAAATAGTTCTCCATTTGCCTAAAATAAATATAACCAATGCAAATTTTTGAAGAGTTGCTATTCAGTATTTCAAGTATTCATACTCAGGGTACTTGAGATAATTTTTCTTTTGGCACTTTTTTTTTGACACTGGAAGCCAGTCCTTCAATGTTTTTTTTTTACATTTTCGCACTGGCGTAAATGCTAATTTTGCTGAAATAGTTCTCCATTTGCCTAAAATAAATATAACCAATGCAAATTTTTGAAGAGTTGCTATTCAGTATTTCAAGTATTCATACTCAGGGTACTTGAGATAATTTTTCTTTTGGCACTTTTTTTTTGACACTGGAAGCCAGTCCTTCAATGTTTTTTTTTTACATTTTCGCACTGGCGTAAATGCTAATTTTGCTGAAATAGTTCTCCATTTGCCTAAAATAAATATAACCAATGCAAATTTTTGAAGAGTTGCTATTCAGTATTTCAAGTATTCATACTCAGGGTACTTGAGATAATTTTTCTTTTGGCACTTTTTTTTTGACACTGGAAGCCAGTCCTCAATGTTTTTTTTTTACATTTTCGCACTGGCGTAAATGCTAATTTTGCTGAAATAGTTCTCCATTTGCCTAAAATGTGTGGAATCTTTCTCTAGTCTAAAGCTCTATTGCTCTCAACGGCTAGATATTTGAGTTAACAGATGTCTGGAAAGCATACTTTCTTAATAAAATTGGTTTAAACCCTGGTTGTTTTAATTTTTTTTTGCCTTGACATGCCATTGAATTATGCCTTTTGGTTTTATAACCGTTCGATTTACCACTTCTCTAAAATGCAAAAGAATCGAATATATAACTGGTCTAATTGGCGGCATAAAAGGTGCGTCTGGCTCGCAAGTCATTTGTGTACGTGTTGACTCGCCTTCGCCTACACACAGTTGAATCATTCTGTTTCATGCCAAGAGTCATGTCGGTGTAACTAACATATTTATTTTCACAAATACATCCAAACCGACTCGCGAGTCAGACACACTGTGTATGCCGCCTATAATGGCTTAAGTGCGGCAAGGTAATATTAAATATGGGCTGAAACGTAAAATATGTTTTAAATAAAACGGCGGTTCTTCGCCTCATACAAATTTTGCAATCACAAAAGATTCTCTCTTTAATGCTGAAAAGGTATTTGTATTATTCATTTTGCCCAAAATTCCTTTAAAATGTTCGGGTTTTAACTGGTCTAAATTAAACAACTTTTTTAAAATTAAAGCATTTTTTAATGATTACACTCGACTTATAATTTGTTTTAAACCTTAATAAAACTTGTCTTATTGCTCCTTCTGAACTGGTCTAATTTTTTTTCAAGACGATTCTGTTTTTTAGTATATGCTTTGTTTAAATAAGAAAAATTGGAGTCCAAAAAAATAATTTTTTAATTGGTAAAATTTTTCAGCTCAAAATCCGGTTGCATCATGTCCTTTTTGAATTATTAAATTATAATACATATGTTATTCACATTCACTTTTTTTTATAAAGCAATTATTGTCAACCACAATTGTAAGGCACGGTGCACATTAGAGCGATACGATATGCGGTGTAGTAGTAAACAGTGTCGCTCGGCCGATACGCAAGCGATATATGTCGCCGCAGTGTCGCTGTCGGAATTTTTTCGTTAATTTTCATTCTGCATCAAATGGCATATACATACAGTATTGTTTCAAAATCTCTAAAAAATTTTGAGAGTGTGTGGTATTCCCGTCGTTGCTAATAAATTTACCTTAAACTTTTTAATCTTGGTTGGTAATCGGATATTTTACTTTGGCGTCCTCTGCTCCGATAGGCGTAGCGTCGAAAACAGCAAGACGGTGAAGCAGCAGAAATTGTAACCCATTCAGCCCAGAATTTTAAATTTAAAGATTTGAGTTAAGCTATTCAGCCTAGTTGCGTACGTCGTAAACTAGAGTAAAATGGACGACTCGACAACATTGGCATTGCCTATTGTCGTGCTGAAATAAGTAGACGACGAAAACTGTCGAAAATTATCCAGTGCTGCCAAGTTTTCCCATTTTAATACACTAGTCGAATCGAATTTTTAGGCAATGCCATGTACTTTTCGATACGTCTTGACTCTCGAAAAACGACTATCTAAGATTAGCTATTCAAATGTCAGCCAGCTGTTCAATTTAAACTCAGTTTACGTGATCTAAGTTTAAACTGCCACTGAAAAACTGGCCCTTAGTCTGTATATACGAAAGACAAATGTAAAAAAGATAGTACCTTAGACATTTGCAACACAGTAAATTTTTGGTATAGAAACGGAAAAGGTCAATAGGCGAGAATAGCGAAAGAAGGGGTGGTGAATTTAATAAAATAACCTACTTCGCATTAAAAAAAGCACTACGATCTGCGTGTCAAAATGGCGCCGTCTTTGATCAAATACAAAAGAATGTTGAGGAAATGTCCTGTCTTTTCGTCGAAGTGTCCAGATATATTCATTTTACTCTCATGAAACGTTGGGAACAAGGAAACTTTGACGCGATGAATTTTCTTGACTGTTATTACCAGGGAACGGATTTTTAGGACCTAAGAACCTATAAAAAAGGCAAAATAAAATAACGTAATAGGCTGGAAAAGGCAAAATAAAATAGCGAAAAAGGCAGGAAAAGGCACTAGATATTGCAAAAAAGCAAAATAAGGCACTAAAAAAGACAGAAAATACGAAGAACAATCAAAAAATACATTTATTTTAGAAATGTTTATATTACAAGTAAAATGAGAAAACCTATGAACCAGTTTCATTATATGAAAAATTTGTACTTTGAATCTTTGACTATNAAAAAAGGCAACATCAAATGTGTATATATGGAATCAGGGAAAGCTAAATCGTGTACATTCTAAATANTTCGCATTAAAAAAAGCACTACGATCTGCGTGTCAAAATGGCGCCGTCTTTGATCAAATACAAAAGAATGTTGAGGAAATGTCCTGTCTTTTCGTCGAAGTGTCCAGATATATTCATTTTACTCTCATGAAACGTTGGGAACAAGGAAACTTTGACGCGATGAATTTTCTTGACTGTTATTACCAGGGAACGGATTTTTAGGACCTAAGAACCTATAAAAAAGGCAAAATAAAATAACGTAATAGGCTGGAAAAGGCAAAATAAAATAGCGAAAAAGGCAGGAAAAGGCACTAGGTATTGCAAAAAAGGCAAAAAAAGGCAAAACAAAATAGCGAAAAAGGCAGGAAAAGGCACTAGGTATTGCAAAAAAGGCAAAAAAAGGCAAAACAAAATAGCGAAAAAGGCAGGAAAAGGCACTAGGTATTGCAAAAAAAGCAAAATAAGGCACTAAAAAAAGACAGAAAATACGAAGAACAATCAAAAAATACATTTATTTTAGAAATGTTTATATTACAAGTAAAAAGAGAAAAACTATGAACTAGTTTCATTATATGAAAAATTTGTACTTTGAATCTTTGACTATTTTATCCTTTCGAGTTTCTAACTCATAAAACTTTAATCTGTATAGTTGTAGTAACATTGAACCACAAGATACATTTTGAAGTTTTCTGGCAGCATTTTCATTCGATTTTCGCGAAGAAAAGCCTTGAATATACTAAATGTGTGCTCGACGTAAGTTGATACAAGTGGAGCCCAATTTAAATATGGAACGTTTGAAACGTTCATATTATCAGGAATAAGGGCGTTTTCCTCGCCCTTTACAATTTTATCCACACCCCTTATTGTCTCCAAGCCTACGTTAGCTCAGAAAACGGCTTTGAATTTTCCCAACACCAATTTGGCAAGAGGTCCCTGCGCTTCTATAACCCGCATGGGCATGTGTATATTTTTTAATCTTAAAAAAAAATTTTAAACGCTATAATCACTTTTTTAAAGGTAGAAAAGGCAAAAAAAGGCAAATATATTAAAAAAGGCAAAAAAGGCAACATCAAATGTGTATATATGGAATCAGGGAAAGCTAAATCGTGTACATTCTAAATAGAATATACTTTATCTCTTTAGCAGAAAAAAAGGCAATTTCCATAAAATCCGTTCCCAGGTTATTACCATTTGATGGTAAAGAAAAAAGCAACGTATATAATCGACGAAGAGTACAGTATCCTCCGTAAAAACCTGAAGTTATACGATAGTTCATACCGTTCTAATTTATTCGTGGAAAACTCGAAAAAATTTCTCACTATTTTCCACAATAATATTGCATGCACGCATGTAGTCGGCTGAGAAACTATTTCAAGTTTGAGGATGTCAAAAAAATGTGTATATATAGCACACTCCGCTACCTTTTCTAGAAAAATTTAAAAAATATCCCAGAAGAATTGTTACCACAACGTATGGTGTTTCGATTTAAAATCGAGCGGAAAGAAACTAAACGTAATACCAAATGTCAAACTATTTTGGTCTTCTTTGAACTAGTTTTCAATCTTCAAAGTTACATTAGGTGCGTTCGACAAGTTAAAAATTTGTAATAGTTTTCCAAATTTTAATGGATGGCGTTCGATGTTCCCAACGTTTCATGAGAGCGAAATGAATATATTCGACACTTCGACGAAAAGACAGGACATCTCCTCAACATCCTTGTGTATTTGATCAAAAACAGTGTCATTTTTACACGAAGATCGTAGAGCTCTTTTTTACTACGGAACGGGTTGTTTTATGACATTCACCACCACCTTCTTTGCTGTACGTATTATCTTTTTATTCATTTACCGTCTCGGAACCAAGAGTAAAAAACCTTTTATTTAACCCTTTGCTACAGACATGACTAACATTTCCCTATTTTAGTGACGTGTAGTCTCTCAGACGGCAATTTTCCAGATCAAAATATATGTATATGTTAGATATTTATTTATTTTCGATTTAAACTGGAAATTCCATCAATATATTTAATACTTATTAATGAATTAGTCATAAAAAACAAACTATAACGAAACGAAAAATGGTCGTTTTGAAGCTCGGGAAAAATGTTGAACATCAGTCGCAAGAGGGTTAAATCTACAGTATATATTAAATGAGTTTCAATAACAACAGGAGTTACAATATATTTTATGTATATAGTAAATTTATCACATACATACTTACTGCAAACTGAAAATGCGCAAAATCATAAAAAAAAAATCTCAAAAATCAACGGTAGCTTATAGCCACTTAAAAGTTGCACTTTATTATACTCAAATTGAGTGAACTACAAAACTGCATACTCCAAAAAATTCTAAAAAATTTTGTTTAAAGTTGAAACTTTGTCACATTTTCCTAAATTTTGGAAAAACTTTGAAACAATAACTTACATATATGCCATTTGACGCAGAATGAACTATATTTCTATTAAAAATTAACGAAAAAAATTTATTACGAAAGACATTGCAATATAAAAAAAAAAAGCACTGTTCGGAGACTTATTCTGGTGGGTGTATAGATGTATACAATATTAATTAAAATTTAACAAACACAATGTTTCTCAATGAATTTCAAAATAATTTCTATTAAATATTCTACAACTTCCTCCCAAAACTGTGTAGATGACCAAAAGGTACAAAATTTCAACATATTTAAATCCCTAAATTATTCAAAAATTTTCACTTTCTACTATTCAAAAGATTATATAGCTCAAAAAATTCCAAAACTGCATTTTTTCACACTTTGAATCCCAAATATTTCAAAAACTAGAGCCAATTGAATAATTTGAAGGTCAGATTCTGATTGCACGGATATCATATATGTAGAAACCAGTGGTCATTGGTTGTGCCACATCAGTTGCTAGAATTTTGTTGGGCTGTGATCTTGTACTAACACTTATACATATGTAATTATTTACATTCTCTTATCTTTACATGACATATTTTCATATATTAATTTATCATAAAACTTGAAAATAAATCTATGGTCTCAAAGATAGCAATAATGTCTTTTTTTGAGACTAAATGAAATAACTGCCTTTTATTTATTTTAATTTATGATGTAGAGTTTCTCGAAGTTTGGTACTAAGAATCATTGGTATAAATATATAAGAAATTTTTCATGGAGCATTTCGCAAAAAAATAGTTAAACCTTTTTTAGAAAATATTTTTATTTCTACTACAAAGTTCTTTTTACATTTGTATTTTAGTGAAATATTTGTCTTTTAAAAACTATTTAATTAAATAATATTATATCCAGCAGCCTATGGAGCGGGTATGAAGTTGCCATGTTGTTGACACTCTTTTATGACAAACTCATAATCTTTATACTCCGACAGTTTCGCATCATTTCCAATAAGAATCAGCAGTGATTTAGCACGCGAAAGTATGACGTTTAAACGCTGTAAAAATAGCGGGGGATAAAAAATAGGTTAGGTATATTTCCTTAAATTAGAATTGGAAATATGGACAGCCTCGAAACAGAATTGTCATAATTTGCATTGTAAATATTAAATATCTTTCCGAGTTTCGAGTTTTACAGTTTTCATATTTAAGGGAATGTAAAATAAAATTTTTATTACACATATGTACCTCTGGGTCCTTTAGAAAGCCCAAACTTTTAAATTTCGATCGTACAAACGATACAATTATAACCGCCTTCTCTTTGCCTCTATATGCCTCCGCCGTACCAGTTTCGATTTGAAATAATCGTAATGCATTCAAATCCTCTTGTATGGTCATGCATTGACTACGATACGGTGATATTATACCAATATCAGTTTCTTCCAACTTGCGTCCGCCACCCAAACCTTTTTCTAATAGCATATTGACATATTGAAAAACCACGCCGATTTCTCGTCCATTGTGAATGCTAGGAAGGGAGAAAAAAATATAAAAATAATTTATTTTATTTAAAGAATAAATTGAACCTAACGTTATTTAAGTATGTCATTCGTAGGGCTTAGCGTAATTCGAGCTATCAACATAGCCAATAAAATTCCTACAATCCGTTCCGTTCTTCAACTAAGAGACGCAGGATGTTCATTGGTATGGCTCGTGTGCGCCGATTTTAACACCAAGCAGATATTTCTACACACGAATTTCCACACGGCGTGAAACAAAACTATGTATGTACATTAGGGCGAACCAAAAATTCATGTGAAAAAGTATCGGAATTTTCATGCTCTCACCCCCTAGTATTGTTCTATATCGAAAAAAGTACACCCCTATTTTTTAATTTGATCAAAAAATATTTAAAGATCGCTCAAAGCGCTTTAAGTTTTCTATGTATTTTATATGGGAAAAAACAACGTTACGTATAAATGGTATAGAATCCTTGAAAATCAACATCGGAAATCGGATCGGAAAACTGCATTTCTCTTCCGGAGATTCCCAATAATTATACCCAATTTTTTCATAGTAACTATGTTTTATAGGTCCGCCAATAACGCCAGAAAATGCATTAGGGGACAAATAATTATCTTTAGTATTAAAAAATAGTTAAACAAACAATTAGGTTTTATTATTGGAAGTCTCCTGAAGAGCACCAGAGTTTTCCGATCGAGAAATATTAATTTTCAAGAATTCTATACCATTTCTACGAAAAGTTTTTTCCCCAAATAAAATACATGGAAAACTTTGAGCGCTTTGAGCGACCTCTATATATTTTTCGATTTCAAAAAAAAAATTGGGTATATCTTTTCCGGTTTAGAACCTTCCTAGGGGGTGAGAGCATTAAAATTCCGACTTTACTTTTTTTTTGCCACCCTAATGTACGGCCAACTTTCTCATGACCATTTTAGAATTGGAAGATAGGATAGTAACTAAAGTAATTATAAGTTAAAGGCGTTAATAATTAGGAAAACTCAGCGAAAATCCGAATCTAAGCTTCAACCAGATTACTTTCTCTTCTGATTGCTACGGGTCTAAGGCCAATATGCCATTTTCGAAAACACCCTTGGTGGTGTTTCTTTGAATAACTAACGCGTAATTGGCATTATAAGAGAAGCCGGAAAGCGCCTGTGGGTCGCAAGCGGGCCACGCAAAAGCACTTTTGGTGGTGTTCTCCGAATAAGTGAAACGTGATTATGAGGGAATCCACAAAGTGGATCATAGGTTTTTCTAAAATATATAAAATCGAAACGGAACATATGAATATATGTAACAAGAGATTATGGTCAGCTTTCTGTCCAGCATTCCGGCACACACTACAATAACTCCTGCCGTAATCGTTTCAGCGTGCTCTAATCCGGTTGTACTATAACATAATGTATGTCGAAATATTTACCTGTCAGATTCATCGTCTAACTCCTCTCTTCCATGAACTGCATGGAACAAAATGGGAAAATTCGGATCATTTAAACCTTCCCACTTGGCGGCCCAGTTTGTTTCTTCTGAAATAAAAACAAAAATAATAATAATTTAAACCTCTAAAATTGAATATACATATTGTGTTATTACCAGCGGGTANTTCGGATCATTTAAACCTTCCCACTTGGCGGCCCAGTTTGTTTCTTCTGACATAAAAACAAAAATAATAATAATTTAAACCTCTAAAATTGAATATACATATTGTGTTATTACCAGCGGGTGCCATAGCCTGTAGCTTATCATCGTAGTACAATTGACTAAATAGTTTAACGATCGCTGTATGTGAACGGAAATTGCGACATAAACGTGTTTGTATTAGTTGATTGTACTCGCCATTGGCTTTATTGACTTCAGCATAGCATTTACGTTGTAGTAGCTTTTCCAATAACGATTTGCCAAGACCTAACTCTTTGGCACGTCTTGAATTTAATATCGGGCCCAATTGTTTGTGATCACCAGCTATGATTAATTTCGATTTTTCATTTAATGTATTCACTAAACCGACTAAGGATTCAGGCATCGAACAAGCCGCCCCTTCGTCGAGGAAAACATGTGTGAACTGTTGCAAACTGCCGGTAGTTAATTTCCCAACTGCACTTAATGTACATACAACTACCCGATAATCTTGCAGCACCTTTACATCCGGAAAGAAATGCCAATCGTACATGTTCGAATATTCGAGCAGCAGTTTATTGATATTCTCACGTCGTCGTTCCTGCGACCAGCAATAGATACGCGCTAATATTTGCGTACGCGGTTCCTTGCCTAACGAAAGTGTACTACAAATGCGTAAAGCAATTTCATCACAAGCACAGTTAGGACCGGCCGTCACAAGTATCTTGGCATTGGGTTCGTGCAGCAGTAGCTGCAGGATTGATTCTACAATCACAGAGGTTTTACCCGTGCCAGGTGGACCGAATATAATGAAGGGTGCAAGCAGTTCATTCGACTTGCTGATTGAAACAATATTTTGAACTGCTTGCTTCTGCTCGGGGTTGGCGGCAATCTTTTTGTCGTAGAAACTCAAGCTGCGAAGAGCGAGAGAAAGTAAAAAACAAAAATTCATACAAAAGTGCACTTATATGTAGAAAAACATTAGATTCGATGGAGATAAAAATTGAACTCACCGTTTCTCTGGAATAGCCACTTCTGGCAAAGTATTGGGAAATAGGAACCGCTGCAGAGTAGCTTTCTTTACTTCATAACATTCCAGCGCATTATATTGATAGCGCAGAGTCAGACGTGCGGGACAAAATACGATGAGATAGGAAACGTTTGGATCCTCCGGCAATTTACCTTCCGTTCCAAAAGTTACTGTTCTTTCATAAACACTTTCTATTTGTCCGTTAAATGTGGGTCCTACAGTTTTACCTGGTACTTTTAATTCCCTCGAACCACTTAGTAATATATTCAAAAAGAATTCTTTTGGAAGTGATTTTGTAACTGGACATTCGGCCACTATTAGCAGTCGATTATAGGGACTGAGTAGGGCTTCATTAAAGCAACCGATTTTCCGTGATTTCCGTGTAAGCTATGCGAAAGTTTGTGAGTAGAGGTAAGAAAAGAGAAAATACTTATGTACCAAAATTAACTACATAGGTACATACATACGTATATGTATATATAAAATTTATTAAGAGAACAAAATCGGGGTTTAAAGGGGAAATTAAATTTTAAAAGCTATTTGCAAAAAACGCCTCTTATAATAATGCAAACTTGAAAGTGCACAAATTTTCTCTACTACCAACCTTTAAACTATATTTTAGCGGACGCGATTGTGTTAATTTCACATCGCGTTGTATTAGGCGACGATATTTTTCCAGAATATCAATATCTTCAATTTGCAGTAGTAATTTCATGGCACCGAAAATATTTTCAGGCGTAAATATACGACCGCCATTAAAATAATCAGCAAAAGCTGTTGAACTTTTACAAAGTTCCTCGTCATCGTATTTTTTTTTCTTCAACTCCAAGAGCGTGGTTGGCGGTAGAAAGGTTGGTAAAGCTGCGGTAGCTTGAAAGAATCTGTAGAAACAATTGAACTCTTTATACACGCATACACACATATCGTCGATGCCTTTGCAAAACCGCCCATCGTCCAATTGCAAAACCGCCTATTTTACGGCATTAAAACTTTTCAGGAGAGCGAAAAAAACAGTTTTTCTTTGAAGGCATTGACATGATAGGCGGTATTTTCTCTTGGCTATTATTTTACAAATCTATTGTTTTACAAATCTTAATAACGATTTTACAATTTTTATGCACAAATCTCGATGCCTGGAGTTCAGGGTTACGAAATCTAATTTTCGCCACAACGGCGATTCAGGCGGTTTTGCAACTGGTCGATGGGCGGTTTTGCAGAAGCATCGATGATATGTATTACTTACGTTTTCGCTGATAATCGATGCAGCTTTTTGTTTTCCTTATGATATGGTATTAGCTTCTTTTCGAAATCCTTATGCAGCTCCTCAATTTCGTTAAATAGCATAATTTTTTGATAATTTAAACAAAAGAGATCGCTGCCCTTAGGTATATCGATCAAATAGCCGGTGCGATGTAGCAATACGCCAACCTGTAATGGAGAAAGGAAGTCCCTAAATAAGTTCGAAAAACACTCCTAACAGTTTTACGGCTTTTTGTATTTCAGCGACGATTTGAGATAGAGCCTTTCTATATTAAGGTAACGAGATGTAGGTGTCACCGAAAATGTATGCTCGAAAAAAAATGTGTACGGCGAACGTTTTTTTTTTTTGCTCGTAAGGTGGTACGGTCTAATGTACGTGTTATTTTTGTTTAAAGGTTTTAACCCTCTTATGCCGAAATCTAAATTTTTGAGATTCGTACGTTTGTTTTTCTAAAAAAATTTCGTTTTGATTTTGTCGCTAGAAGCACACAAATACATATGCACATATGTATGGGCGTGTATGTATCTGAATGTACATAAATACATATATACAAATGTTTATGCCCATATTATATGACTTTTTAATTTCTATGCCTTTGCAAATTCCCAAGACACTTGAATGCGAGAATAATAAAAATAATAATCGAAGGGCACAGCTCTACAAGGGCCTCAAAGTGCTCCATAACGACTTAAGAGTTCTTTATGATAAACATACATATGTACATGCGTATGTACACTCAGAATGTGTGCGACCGCCTACAAATTAGCGTCAATATTTACATAAACATAAAAAAAAGGATACAATTTCATCAGTGCCATAATAAACAAAACAGAGTTTCTGAAGTGGACAATGTTAAGAAAATCGTCAGAGGAGTAAAAACAAAAAAAAAAAAAAGAAACATACACAGTAACGTCATCAAAGCAAACATCCGAAACGAAAAATCCCACCATGCAAAACATGAGAAATAGGCAACAATCGTCAATGGCAACAAATTGGCGACTCACCGATTTATTGCTGTGGTGACAAATCGGCAACATCACTTCGTTCATGACAATTTTGAATAAAATGTTCTCACAAATTCCGAAACTTATGAATATGGCGTCAATAGTATTGGCCAAAAGCATCTAAATTATGCCCAAGGACAAGATTGAAGAAATAGGAAGCCTCACAGCGAGAAAATGAATTAATTCCGATTGTAAGTTGCGATTTGGTATACAAAAAAAAATAAATGAAGCCTTAAAAAGAATAAAATTATTCCAAATATCGCCTGAAGCGATAAGAAAAGGACTCATTCAGGTAATAAGAAAACGACTC